CTGGAGTTTTATTATACTGTATACTATAGGCAGAAAGGAGTAAGGATGGAACCTCGAGAATCACTAGAGTATTTCCTACGCTGCCATGTCCTGGGGCAACATTAAAAGGACACTACAGTAACATAACACAGCCAGAACCATCAAAAGCCCTGGTTCTCTCGGCATGACAGTTTGGGTCACCTCAACAGCTAAAGAACTTTGATCACATGATGTGCTGGATGTAGGCAAAGGGACATGAAAAAGTTAGAAATCATACATTCCAACAACAGCTTTGTGATAGTTGAAGAAATGAAAACTATGGCATTTACCCCTGTTTTCTAGTCTGTCTTTTTTATTTTGAATAACACATTATGTAGGTTTGGTGGTTGGTGGTTACTATACAGTTTATTCCGTACTTAATATGATACAGATAAGTAGGGAAAGATTTGACTTTGAGCTGAATAAAACCCAGATTAGACTTTGGCTTGTTTTGGGAGCAATAAAGTAAGCTTTTGGTTATGTGGGGAATAAACTGCATCATATTAGGCAAAAATATTTTTTAAGTATGAGTATGGGAAGAGTATATATTGATATTGCCCACTCAGGGATAAACTGTGGTGAACATTAGTCATTTATTTATTTATCCATGCATTTATTTATTCATACATTCATTTGTCCATTTATTTATTTACTTCCTAGTGGTAGTGAGGGTTGCATAGTACATGAATTTTCTTTCTGTATTCTGGTAATTTTCCACCTTCTCAGTTCCCCTGGAAGTAGGCACAAATATGTTTTCTAAGCTCTTTCTTTCTTTTTGTCTCTTTCTTTCAATTATACACCATGATATGATGGATATCCTTGTCCATATATTAATACTTAGGCACATTTTTGCATTACATCCACAGTAAATGCCAGCAGTAAGAGTGCCAAAGAGTTATGAAGACAAATAGCCCCATGGATAGGCATGTTTGGGGAGGAACTGAACCTCCTGCCAAGAAGTAGCACATGCCAACCGTGTGAGTGAGCCACCTTGAAGTGGACCCCTCAGCACTAATTAAGCGTTCAGATGACTGAAGTTCTAGCTGACATCTGATTGCAACATCATGAGAGCCTAAACGACCCAATCAAGCCACTCTTAATCTCCTGACCCACAGAGGCTATGATGATTCTTCTTTTAATATACTAATTTTGGGGTCATTTGTTAAGCAGCATCAGATACTAATGTACTTATGGCTAAGAACAGTGGTTCTCAACCCTGGACAGTTTTTCCCCTCAGGGACATTTCATAATGTCTGGAGACATGTTTGATGGTTCCAACTGGAGAGGGGGCTACTGGTATTTAGTGGATAGAGTCCGGGAATGCTGCTACACATTCTACAATGGACAGAATAGCCTGATAGCCTGCCGCGACAAAAAACTATCCAGCCTGAAATGTCAGTGGTGCCAAAGTTAATAAATCCTGAATCCTAGAAAAACTTAAATACCATTAGAATCAATTTTTTAAAAAAGTTAAATAGAACTCAGCTGTGAGTCATCTCTTTCTATATCTTTTTCAAGGCTGGATTTCTAATCACCTTTACAGGCTCTTCAATGTTAACTGATGGAGCAAGTTTTGACCAATGTAAAAGCATATATTTGTAATCGGGTACTGAACAGTCATACTGCCTCTTCTGCAAGTTGGCTGAATTCCAAACTTCTCTCCTTTTTGAGGTTTGATAAAAATATGCGAAAAGGGTTATTAATGTTTAGTTCTAATAATTTTTCTATAAATCCTTTTGGATTATGTAGGGACACAATTGTGTCACCCATAAATAATGTGAATTCTTCTTTGTTCTCTCTCATCTTCATAATTTTATTCCTTTTTTGTATTTTATTATTCTGGTTAGAACCTCTAGTGCAATATTGAATAGTAGCGATAGTGGATATCCTTATTCCTAATTTCAGGGGGAAAGTATTAAATCAAGTGTGATGTTTGCAGTAGGGTTTTTTTTTGTATAAGAAATTAAGGGAATTTCCTTCTATTCTAATTGCTAAGAGTTTGCTTGTTGTTTTTTATCATGAATGGGCACTGACTTTTATCATCTGTTTATTTCTGCATATATAGAAAAGCTCTTTTGGGAGAAAGAATAGTCTTTAACGAATGGTGCTGGGGACAACTGTATACTTACATTCAAAACAAAGAAGTTAGATCCCTAACATCCATACACAAAAATTAACTCAAGGTAGATAATATGCCTAAGTGTAAGTACTAAAAGTCTAAAACTCTTAGAAAAAAGCATAGAAATAAATCTTTGTGATCTTAGGTTAGGCAATGATTTCTTCAATATAGCACCTAACAAATTGAACTTCATCAAATTAAGATCATTTGTGTTTCAAAAGGCCCCATCAAGAAAGTGAAAAGACAACCCACAGAATAGAAGAAAATATTTTCCAATAAATTATCTTATAAGGAACTAGTATTTAGAATATATAAAGAATTCTAACAACTCAATATCATCAGTTATTAGGAAATGCAAATAAGAATCACACGAGATGTCACTTCACATTGAGTAGGAGGGATAAGTTAAAAAAGACAGACCCTAACAGATATCGGCCAGGAGAAATTGGAACCCTCAGATACTGCTGGTGGGAATGTAAGCAAAATGGGACAGCCACTTGGGAAAGCTGTTCAGCAATTCCTCAAAATGTTAAACACAGAGTTACCATATGATTCAGCAATCTATTCCTAGGTATCTTCCTAAGAAAAATGGAAACATATGTCCACACAAAAACTCTCAAAGGAATGTTCATAGTGGCATTATTCATAACAGCCAAAAATTGGACACCACCCAAATATCCATCTACTGACAAATGGATAAGTAAAATA